GAAAGAGCAATTAGACATTACCGTATGTTACTGTTAGCTGTTCTGATAACCATATAAAACTGTTTCATTAGAAGTAGATTCTAATGAAGCTGTATATCTCTGCATATCTACCCATATCAAATGCTAAACGAAGTGCACTGAAGTATAGATTTGAAACAATTTCAGAAAACATAGAAGCAGTCGCGAACTTCAGTGGACAGAAATTTTTTTAGTAAGCATATCCTGCGTAAAGATCAAAGAGAATCCTCAAATTGTCGACGATTTTGAGTAGGTTTCTTTATTTCACACCCAATTCAGTAGTTTTTCATCGCAAATAGGTTTCAATTTAAAAGCTGTGGATAATCGCTGCATTAGAAATCAGCTGAAATAAAAATTCTCACTTTGTGAGAATTTAGTCTATCACTCAGAGCACGTGAAACGTTTCGTTTAAAAAATTGAAATGCTTTCGAAGCTCAAGAATTTTCAGTAGGTGATGACCTCGAATGACCAAGATGTTACCGCAAAGATTACAATTCAGAAAAAATCGAGTAGGCTATTAGTAGTGATTCTGTTCCTGCTAGCGGGTTCAACTACCTCGTTCTGTTCTACTCTATTTATCAAATCCGTTCTGTTCCGTTTCATTTCAGCACTCGTGCAATCGACGAGATCTTGACTGAAAATTCCTACCTCTGTCAATTTATTTTCTTAGAATTTGATGTCAACGTGAGACAGATAAATCGTCAAAGGGGGGATAGGGAAGAGGGGAGCATGTGATTACTTGGATTGTTCGAGGAGTGAATGACAGTCTGCCATATCGACGATGAACGGAACTAATGTCTGCAAAATTCTGATGATCTTTCAATCGTGGGATTGGGCTTAAATTTCGGAATTGTTTTTAAATCACGGCTTATTAAATCACGGCTTCCAGCACTTCGTGCTATGTGTAAGTGGCATTTTTTTTTGAAACAATGAATTCGTAATCAATCAGAAAACAGTTTATTCAGCAAATATTCAGATAATAGCATCAATGGATCTGGAACAATGCATCGAACTTAAAACATAAGTACATTTCAGGTGCAACATCAGCGATTGAATTTTTTGCCGCAATTTCTCAAAACTTTTCTGTGAATCACTTCAATGGATGAAATAAAAAGCATTCAGTTGCTTATATCTGATTGTAAGTTGAATGAAAACCAAACATATTCCTCCACAAATTTTCTTCATAAATTTTCAAATTTGTTAAAAGCACTTTAGACATATAATACATTCGAGAGAGTGCAGCATCCGGTCGTGAGATCGAGTAATTTAGTGAGTTGGATATTATTTCCTCATCAGTAAAATTATCTAAGTTGCATGAGTAAAATTAGTTTCATCGATTTTCATCACCAAGCGTGATATTATCTCATAAAGTATGACTTAATTTCTACAGATAAGGAATGTGTGTTCTCTTAATTCGTCAATACTCCGGAACTGCAACTCTCTCCACATTATATATCGTCATCAATAATTTCAGCAAAAAAACTGCGAGTTGAACAACGCGATTCAAAAATATGGTGGCTGAACGCTAATTTATGCGCTATTGCTTTTGGATATGTCATCAGATTGCACGCATACCCACACAGATATTGTTGATGCGCGTATTTGCCTTCAATAGGACACTTGTTTGCTTGGATGATGGAAACGTTATTTTTAATTTAATGGAAGCGATAACCGAAGATTGAAATTCGAAGCGATCTTGCCTTCTTCAGCATTCCATCCCACCTTCACTGTATTTATCCAGCAGTCGCAATCGATCGCGTTGTTCGTCGTTCGTCATTAAGTACAGCACAACAAACAAAACAATTCACACACAATTTGAATTGTCTATTACATTCGCAATTGATGCTCCGAAATCCAATCAATCATAAGTTCGCATTAAGTGCTGTTGCTTTTTTGTCGCTCCAGACCATTTCAGCTTATTTCTATCTTTGTGGGTATTTCTTTGTGTACTTGTCTACTACTAAAATATCGCATAGCCCAAGGCATTCATAATGTCATTTCGTATCCATATGGAAATGGAATATTGATCATTGATCACATTGTGCTACGTGTTAAAGTCGAAGGACCGTAATGAATTACTGTAATCGTTTATTAGTGAGCGATCTTACTAATAGTCACGAAGACGTCTTAAGTGTACAGCTAGCTTACGATTAGCTGAAGACATGACAAGTGAAAATGAGAAGATGTGGATAGCGATATTTTGGTAAGTCCGAGAAATTTTGAAGTGTGTTTTCAATGAACGCGCATTCATGGATAGTAGATACAAGGAAGTTTTGAAACTTTTGAAGACTTTTTTAAAACTGCCTACAAATTGGTAAGAAAACACCGAAACTTCAAGGGAAACAAAATGGTAATGGGAGTTACTGACAAGTAGTACTTGTTAGTATGTCGCAAAAATTTTTTACATATTCGTAATCAGCTCGAGGAGTTCTACAATTTGATGTATATCTCATCCCGAAACGCTGGGTTCACTTCGTGACCCTCCCTTGTGAGTACGAATGCAAGAATCAAAATGATCTCTTGAACATGCTTACGAAAACAAACATTTCCGCCGCTAAAGAGGAATCTGAAGAAATCTATAAGCATGAAAGCTTTAAAATGCATTAAGGAATATCAGCACACGCTTTATTCGAGGTTAATGCTACTTCAGAGTATATTTGCCTTCTCGAACATACTACTTGGATGTGTTTGAAGTGATTTGTACTTTTAAATTGCATTTCCAAATTGCACACACGCTTACGTTTGCGCTCAGCAATTTCCTTGATTCTCTTAGCAAAGGAAAAATTGAGCATTGCTATTATGTGCGGAATATGTCCCATNCACAATTCATCAAATCATTCCTCATTAATACCAACTATCTTTCGCGCTTTCATCTACGTTTCTGAGCAAAGTACTCAAATCTTCTGATTATCCGCTAAATCCCAAGATCGACTTCATTCTTAGTCTCACGTCAATGCAAGCGATAAATTTACCGAGTTTGATTTTTTAAACAATTGCTTTGCAGTTTTTAACTCACCGTAACTTTCCAAAGCTGAAGTTTTCCAAAAAACTTGCGATGATATCGCGGAAACATGATAGTTTGTCGAGAAAGTAAGCAATAGCAGCGAATGCATAAGAGAAGAAAAGAATGGTGTTTGATGGTGCAAGCGAACACGCGTTTGGATGTGAAAATTGACTGTGGAAAGATCATGAAGAGAACGTGAAATAGAACGTTGAAAGCTTAGATGATGAGTGACGATTATGATTGGAAGAGAATGATGAAAGTGCACTGAATAGAATGCACTGTTCGTTTTAGAACTGAATCATCGAGAGGAAACAAGCGCTACTCATATCGTGGATGGCGAATGAAGCAGCAGCAGCAGCAGCGGCACGAATGAAGCGAATGGTCTGATAAGGTGTCAAGGAGGATGTGGGCAGTGGCGAGAATGATGGCCATAGTGACGATTCGACGTGTGTGGATGGCGTGCTGAATTAGCGATTATGAACCTATGCACATCATTCGAATCGTGGCAGCTATTCGGATGCTTGATTGATGTTTATCTGTTGCCTACAGTATGCATATTCGGATTGGTACTGAACATCGCATGTCTTATTGTATTCGCAGTACACAATCAACATCCTTTAGTGCCTTCGTTGATCGTTTTATCGCTATGCGATGCGTTACAATTGTTTCTTTCGTTGTTCGTCCTCTTTCTGCCAGCCGTTCATGAATACACGCAAGCTGAGAGGTTAATTTTTTGAATATTCATTTAAATCACTTCGATCTTCATTTATCCCCATAATGATCAGCGGGCAACGAACGCTGCTGCAGCTGTTAAACTTGAATGTAATGAAATGAATGTTTGTGGATGATTCTGCCGGCTTCGATCACATGACAGTTTCAGGACACTTGTTCTCACAACTGAAAAGTGAATCAATCCCGAACACGGCTTCAAATACTAGCTGAATTGTGTCGTATGATTTGAATGTGCCTGAACCTTCTAAGTAGCATTGCTCTGATATAACTATCACTGATATAATGTCGACCGGTTCTTAATCACTCGTCAAATAGGGCACCAATATTGATTTAATTTATCGTAAGATATCCGAAAATTGCTTAATTACATACACCATAGAGTTTTATTATTCTGCATCTACTTGATAATGAATATTTCACAAGCATTCCTCACTTTCAACTCATAAGCAATTCAAAGCGAATCATAGTCTAGTGATTCGTAAAATCCACTTAATCTGAGTACCTATTTACCACTTATTACCTCAAGCAATGAATAATCTATTCCTAATACCAATCACCAAACTTAATATCGCTTATAAAAAAGTAATACTTCAATCATTTGGAGTGACATTTGCACTCTGTAATGTTGTGCTTTGCTGTGTTTTTGGGTGATTTAGCTATGAAATTAGGTTCCAGTCAGAAGCTCATGAGCACTTCAAGTGAGAAAATAAATATAAGAATGGAGTTTGATTAAAGACCAGTGAAGCTTGCCGGTGTTATATAATATCACATCAAAAACCTTTAAAGTGAAATGATTAACGAAATCAAAAATGAGCAAAAGATGAACTATCAGAAAACGTGAACGAGAGTGACGTTGAATTATTTAAAAAAGTTTATAATCCTTCCATTGCCATTCTCTTACTCTGAAACAGTTTGTTCTTTTAGATGGCAGTGAATAGCTGATAAGTTTCGTTTGAATTGCAAATAATGATGCAAAAAATCAAACCATTTAATCTTTATGTCAAACCATTTAATGCTTTATGATTTTGTTTTTCTGAAACAGCTATCTTTAATGACCATCTTAAGACCAGTTGAGCACTAAAGTCGTTAACGAGTCACTGATAAGAAGCGACAGGTGCTTTGTTCATGTGCAAATCACGCTCTTCTTTGAAAATGAGCCTAATAAATGCTTGATTTTCCAGGCGATTAAAATCACTTCCGCAACATTAACTTCCGAGAGATTAAACTTCCTAAATCAACTGATTTTTCAACTAGTCCAGCTAGTGAAAATATCATTTTCAAAGTCTGAAAGCGTGTTTAAAATTCGATGAACGCATTGGTACAACCGTTCGCTCATAAACAAACGATTACCATAACTCATAGGTGATAGCTATCGTAATGCATGTGACCAGGCTTTTGAAACAAATCCACTGATGTCTATGAATTGAATGCAAACGAGGGAGCAATCGCGATTCTTTCGCTTTCGAGATCCTCAACTGAAACAAAATGGATAGCCGAAGTGAAACTCAAGCAGATGAACNTTGTTTATTGTGCTCAAAAGAGTTCATTAAACGGTAATTCAGTGGCAAACGAGATGCTTACTTATACTTACGGGGAGTTGTAACTGTCAAATAAATGTGTGTGTGATTGTGTTTCGCAAAAATTGCTGCTGAAATTTCAGTTTTTCTGCGCTAGGACAGTGTGCGTACATGGCAACTGGAACGCTGTCTCCGCTGCTGCTTGCATCGAATTGTGCATCAATTTGGACGATGTGTTTCATTGCGATGCGCCGTTATGAGGCCATCTCACGTCCATTACATACGGTCGCATCGCAAGCATCAAATATCACTCCATTAAGTTGTATCGCCATATTGGCACTACTTTTTAATGCGTCCAAATGGGCTGAATTTAAGTGGTTCTGGCATTATGTGCCCAACAAGAAACGTTTTGTGCTCATTCACGAGTCCTCACCACTTGCTCATAATGCCACTTATCGTTTTATTGTAAGTTGAACGTTTCCGTTAGCTAAATTTTTGATAACATTCATATTTTGCGTTCTCACAACAATATGGATTGTTAAAATGCAAATATTAGCTTATACTTTATTGTGCAGCCTTCTCCATAAATCACATCCAGAGTTTGTCCATTCTTAAGCATTAATCTTTCTGTGCCGAGTAATTTCTCTACTGGGTGATTGATGATTACGTTGCGTCGGAAAAAGTATGTTTGATCGCAATGCATCGAGAGAAATGAGCTTCCAAGCAGTTTAATCTTTCCAAAACTAATCGTTCGCGTAGAAAAAATCGTGCCAGAAAAAAAACGAATGAATTCAGCAATGTGATATGGTTTTGAAGACGGCAGTCTTACTTATGAATGAATCAGTCACATAATTGTTTGTGGGAACTCTGTGAAAAATGAAATAATTGCTGAGAATTTGAAAATCTTAATTAACTTATTTTTATGAACTGAAACCGTTAAGCGATCAATGTTCTGTGCAAAAATTCCGAATTTCATCGCTCATATTCATCGCTCCCTCTGGTAGTAATGGTCATCACCACGAAATGAAACTTCGCTTTTCCTAGAATGCATCTCAAAAACAAACTGCTGACAACTGAATAAGTGCTTTCAGAGAGAAAAAGTGCTGTATCCAGTATGCGTGTACTTTATGCCATTGGTGGTGATATCGGTGGTTAATTTAAGGATATTGACAATACTCAGTCATGAACGTATTGGTAATGAAGGGCGAAATATAGCTAGTGAAAAGCGATCTGTCTTATTGCTCACTTCAATTGTTGTGTTGTTCTTCATTTGTCATACTGGTTCGTCATAATTTCCTTGAGCTGATTTCCGTTTCATTTTTTTTTTGAATCCAAATTCAATTTCTCTCTTGGGACTGTTTTTTCTTAGCATTTCAGTGCGTTAAGTAGTTGAAGGATTTACTCAAAATCTGACGGTTCAGTGAAGATCAATTCAGTGCTCGTGAGGAAACATTTTTCAAAGAGCAGAAACAGAAAGTATGAGCAGAATTCCCTCAGGTTCATTTCATCTTCATGGATTCTAAATTATGGGGATAATTTATCTCGCAAAATAGCCACCCAAATTTCTTTTGCTAGCGAAACGTTAACAGAACAGGTATGGATTCGTATTTCAACATGTGAATTGCTCGATAATTCGATATGGTTCCATGTAATCTGAATGCAATTTGTTACAAATATCTATCAGTTTGCCTCAAATGCTTATAACTATTTAAAAAAACCAATTTCAGGTGGATTGGTAATAAGATTTTATACAGTTGATGAGCAGCACATCGAGCAATTTGTGCTGGCAAAAGATGTGGTCAATCTACTTTTTAATATCAATTCACTCGCCAATCCATTTGTTCGTTTCAAAATTCATTTCGAAATTTGTTCACAATTTAAAACCCAGAAAGACCTCTCAATAGCACAATGCATTGAGATTTTGATGCGTTATCTGCACTTTTGATCATTGATTGACTTATATTTCAAGAATGCCGCAATAAAGGAAGGATAAAAAGTAGAAAAAAAAGTTTCACTTACATTTCAGTCGAGCGAACATTCGAAAATAGCAATTATTAGGGTCGCTTCGCCGTAATAATTGCAATTTTCGAGTAACGAATAAGGAAAATCTATTTTGTGCAATTGAAAAGAACCATTTAATAAGATTTTCTATTATTATAATATGCGTAGTATAAGGAACACTTTCAGAGAGCGAAAGCTAAGTGAGATTATAAATTTGAATGCCAAGTTTATAATTTGATAAGATGAACGTCCTTCATTCCGAAAAATTGCCGAGCAGTCTTGGCCATTCAAACACATACAAACATACTTCAAAAGATTTTCAACATTGCCTTATTCGCTGAAGTTTGGGGACCGACCTTCTTTATGAAAATTGATCATAAAAAATAATGTATTCTTGTGGGCCGCTCTATTCATAGCAGAAAAGTGAATTTCAAACAAATCCGTTGCTTTCGTTATTGCTCATGATATCAATAATAGCACGGTGAATAGCATTGCACCAAACAACCATTTTACTCTTGAATATATGAAAATATTCATTCTTATCCTTTATTGCAGCTATATTTCCTTTTCACACGCCAATTCAAGGATCTTCGAGTGAGTTTGATNNNATTAATTATTCGTTTTAATTTTAAAATGTTCACTTACATTCAGTTTCAATTGCGAAATGCAATTGATAACAATCAAGGGGAGGTTATGCTCTAAGAAAAAGTTGATTTGTTGGTGTTTTCGCGTTGGAAATTGTCCTGTTGGATGTGCTCGTTTACATAGCTCGAATTAAATTTTTTTTAAAGAGTAGTCAGTATAATGGGTTTTGGTTAGAATTAATTAGAAATTACTCTCGCGAACGCTGAACAGCGATGCGAATGAGGTTGATCACTGATCGTGGTCTCGATGATGAAGCAGACGACAACAAAGAAATCTGCTAGATGCGAGGTCATCATCGATTTTGCCCTTAAACATAAATCTTATTCTAACGAGACTGATTCTATGGCACAAAAATATGTTGTTTTGTTAAGCTTTTGATTGAAACTTATGCAAGCACAATGAGTTTCTTTGTTTTGTGTTTGTGAGAGCAACAAATTAAATGAGAGACTTTCAGACAAGTTGGAGTTTCAATCGAGGCGGTAGTACAATAGCACTTGTGAAGTCGGTCGTCAAGGATCGAGGATTGGCCTAAGCCGTAATGTCGTTATCATTATTGAATTGTCAGAAGTAAAGCGATCGCTTCTGAAACTGATCACTTCAATAGTGCTCGATAATGCTTATTGATATTAAAGATTTGTTTGCAAATAGTATTCCAAGATTTGTTTCTGCTTTTGAAGTGCTTTTGTAACATGAACAATCAATAATTTGTCTCGTATGTTCACATGTTTGCTGGTACAGAAGATCGAGCACATTCAATACGACGAGAAAGTGGATGAATCAATAAAACCGTACAGTTCAGCCTCGTAGCCATGGTATTGCTTGATGATGAAGCTTGGGCTTAGAACTCGGCTGAGATTACGTTTTTGCTCACATTTGAAAGACGATAAGTTGAGGTTTATCTATCGGACTTGTTTGCGGTACTTACGCCTCTTTTTGACTGTATTCACATCGATCAAACCAGTGTTGGCTACGTTCTGAACTCCAATAAACATACCAGCTTCATAGCCACCTGGAGTGTTTCGAGTCGCGCTATTCCGGACTGTTCTTTCCTACGGTTTCAGTCATTACTCATATTGTATCTGATATGTTATGAAGTTTGAATGTCATCATTAAGAATTTGATTGACTGAAATAAAGCCATACAGTTTCCATCAGCAGCCTACACATCTAAAATATGTTAAATGCTTGAATCACAACATTGAGTATGCGTTTTTCAAGTGAAAAAGTAAAATTTTTATAACGTAACAACCCATCGTCAGCACTTTGAAGAAAAATTTTCATTCATGATCTTTTGACGTAAATCGCAAGGCTGATCAACTCTATTTATATACATTTTTTTTTGACGTCACACCATTTTGATACGTCTGAAGAACGACGTAATCGAGCATTANAACGATATCAATTCATTTCCTTTTATCATTCTCGACGATTCAACTCAAAAAGCAAGCTTTTATAGTGGTTGACTGATAGTTTCAATTTGGGTATCAATCTCTAAAATATTGTAAAAGCAACAGCTATCTGCAGTCGAAAGAGATTGGATGCTCATCTTCGATCTCTTAAATGCAATATATGTTTTATGAGATTTCTTAACGGGTAATGAGGCAATTATTACAGAGAGCATTCTTTCAATATTGTCTAAATTGCAATTGCAAATGAGAATGTGCACGAATGAGATCGACAAAATCTGATCAAGCAAGTAACCAATTCCGACAAGGTAATTATATTATCTTCCAATATTGTCTATAATTGCTGCTCGCTCCTTTAAGTTCATTTGAATATGCAAAGATGACAACGCATCCGAATTGCAGTTGATTGATATGTCTGAACTACCCTAATAACAACCAAACAGAAACAGCGCTTTGTTGTGGCTGTAAAGAAACGAGAAGGCAAAATAATTATCCGTAAGTAAAGACTGAATTGAGTAAGGGCGAACCTGATTAATGATCGATCGCGTGTTGATTGCGGAGAGCGGTGAAGAACTAAGTGGCGTGTTCTGTGGTGGTGTGACAATTATCAGTGATCATCGCAGCAGTTATCACTCAAATGTTTCACAAAACGAATATTAGTGACTAGTGCTTAAATGGCGTGTTTGTGCTACCACGAACATTATCAGTGTGCTAACGTTATGCTTAATCAGATGCATAGATTTCGTTACTTGATGATAGCATTCACTTCTTTCATCAACTTCAAATCGTCTTCAACAAATTATTCATTCTATTATTAACGTAAATTGCAATGCGTCCGAACCAGTACCTCTAGTCGATTTCGAATTATCACTCTTCTGCAACAGTTCAGTCAAATCTGATAGAGATTTTTTGACATTAACAAAACAGTCACATTCAGAGTTCTGTTAATAGCATGATCAGACTGGCTTTAGTCACGCTAATGAGTGTTTTAAATGTCGTATACTTGTGCGCTTTGATAAGTGAATTTTTTAATTATTGATGATATGCTGCATAGAGTAATTCGAAATATGCACTGTGTCATTATCTGGGTCCATAAATCAGCAACTATTCATCACCACTTATGAGTCATTGTCTTGAAATGTTGCCGTTTATTGCATTCGATCGCCTGCCAGTCGGTTCACGATTTTTAAATTCGGTTCAGTTGCTCCGAAATCTATGATCACTTCTCTGCGAATCTGTATGGTTGAGAATGTCATGAACACACACCATACTATCTCGATACGTTGATAATTTCATTTCACAAATTTTATTAAAAATTTGACATTGGCTTATAGAATAGTTAAAACTCAGAGCACTAACGTATTGGCTTATTTGCGCTATATGATAGTGTATTGAACGGCTATAGTGTATTGAACGAACGGCTATTGTGGATTTAGTGCATTTATTGATTACGGCTATTGTCGGACTACCTGCTAGTGCACTTTGAAAATTTGTTTGTTTGGTTTGGTGGTGCATTCAGAATCGTTGCCGATGAAGAATGANGATAAAACGAAAAAGCTTCATGATTGATGAATAGATCATCATATCATTTCGCGATACATGATACGTTACCGCTATAACGAAAACGTTGTCGCTTGTGATATCATGCAAAATCAATAACGCATGTACATATTCCTGAATGTGTTTTATGTTTGTGTTACAGTTCAATATCATTATCGCAATCATCGTCATTTCTAGTGCTAGCTTGCGCTTATTCAATGAATACTCGATTCCGTACACATTATATTTTCATTATAACACACTTCCTAGTCGCATAAGCTTAGTGGTACCAAATCGATAGCCCTCAATGTAACACTATCCGTAGTCACGGATCGAGAGCAGTGACGCGACTAGTTTCGAAGATATTTGCGTGTCGTGTTCGTCACTTGCATTTTTATGCTAATTTCAATTTGCATCTGCATATTTATGCGCAAATTTCTACGAATAGCGCTTAGGCGATACGGCAAAATTTTTGTTAGAAATGTCACCTACGGGAATTTGTTGAAGTGCTAGTCGAAGTTTCGGCACGTTTTCGAGGAAATGCGACCAGTGTCTTGAAAAGTTCCCGATGTTTATACATCAGCTCTAGAACTCTTGAGATGCGCCTAAGACATTAAAGAAATATTGTGAGGTATAATGTAATGATGGACAGTTGATTACGTTCAAAGACATCCATCGTATTGCTCCTCTTCTTTCGGCCTGTTTGTCCGGAACTACTAATTTAGAACATGNAAGACATCCATCGTATTGCTCCTCTTCTTTCGGCCTGTTTGTCCGGAACTACTAATTTAGAACATGAAGCACAATTTTTTGATTTCCGTATCTACTATTGAAGCTTGCTAATTTTTCATTTCTGATTAAATGAGAAGCGTTCAGCGTTTCGTTTGCGTAAAAATGAAAAAAGGTGAAAAAGCGCAAGGCGATGAACTCCTTTGTGCTGTTCAGTTTACAATCAGTTATCGACGAAATTTGCTGTTTAATGCTACTGTTTGCAGTTCAACAGAAGTGATGAGTATGTAAGAGAATGCGATACGAAGAAAAAAATGCTCTTGAATACTTTGAATCAAAGACGGCAAAAGAGTTTCGAGTGCATTTTTTCATCGTATTATCACTATGTGATGCACTCACTTGAACTTTATATTTATTACATCTTCAACGGTCGTACTCATTTTGAAACACTTTCGTATACAATCAACAAATAATTTCAAATTTACTTCATTCACAGTCGACGACGTTTTCTTTGCTAATTCTTTTGCGGTCCAATGCATATCTCTCGTTTCGCTTTGTTGGCTGCACGGAAAAGTGTTCATTTCGTTCGCTAACATTGTAAGATTTCGACATTTTCACTCGCATTTACTCGCTAAATAAGAAGCGTTCGTTCATATGGCGAAGAGGTGATTGATTCACTTGCAGTTAGTGGAGATTTGTGATGTTTGATCGAACGCCGC